TAAACATCAATTTTGTGAACTTTAGCTGCCAAGAAACACTGTAAATTGCATTGAACTCGAACATAACCTCAAAAATAGTCATGTGGAATTAAAAAATGTTCGTTTAAAAAACTTTTTGGACAAATTTGACTCTGAATCAGCAGTTTTGAGATCATTTTGCATTCTAAAATGCTTGGAAATGGATTTCTTGTAGATTTCTTAGTTATATTTTGAGGTTATGGTCGGAAAATGCGCCTAAAAATGCGTTTTTATGTCGATTCTTACAGAAATTTTGAACAGAAACTTAAGAAATTCATTATAATTTGGAAACAGTCTATAAACTTCAAGCTCTAGAAGTGTCGGGTAAATTGGGAAGTGTTTGGAAGCGGTGTACAGATTTAAGGCACATTATCTCCCCCTTGCAACAGCATAATTTCACCCATATTGCTCACATGCACAGCAGCAGAAAATGAGCCCTTTGATGACTCAATTAAGTTCATTCATTTTTTCGCGTGACAAGCTTTCCTCGTTTTATGGGGTCGTTGATGGTGAAAATGGAGTGTCGGGAATGATGTAAAAATTGTGCCGTAAATTAATACGATGAGAATTAAGTGGACAGATAATTTCCACATGAATTTACGATATAAACGTGTGTCTCCAAATTAACTTGTCGGCACTCTTCCTTCGCCACAGCGTCCTTGCATCTTCATACCTGGGGCTCTCCTTCGCGCCTTCCTGGCCATCGGAATGCTCTCCCTCTTCGCTGGATAAACACAATAGCACGCGGGCGTCCGGAATGGGCTGCGTTTCGATGATGAACACAATTCCTGGTGAGTTTGAACGAGGAGAGAATAAAAGTTGAGGAAATGGGGAGAATACATGAATGCAATAACAGAGTAATTTATGCGGTTTTATGGGTGCATGCGGAGGTGGGTGCCTCATAAAATGGGCCAAGTCTCTCTCTCTGTCTTCGAGGAGGAATGGATTCCAGTGATGACTTCGACCAATTCTTCGCTGGCAGCCGGAAAAAGATGTACAACAACTCCCTCTTTCACCCTCCCAGAGAGACATCTTCTAGTCGTAAATTTTCACCCAGTCACCGTATTCGATTATGGAAATTAACTTCTCTCCATTTACCATCTCCACGATGTAATCGATTGAATCTCTTTTGCTGTCTCTCAACACCCAAAGTTGTAATGGAATTTATCACAAGGATATATCTCCTAAAGGCAAGTAGGAAGGAAGAATTTCTGTCACATGACGACATCTTACCTTGACTGAGAGAGAGAGAGAAAAGAAATCCTCTGACATCATTTTCACATCCTTTTCCACACTCAACAGAAGCCTAATTTCATTCCAATTGCATTCACTGCAATATTCTTGAGTTTCTCCAGCGCTAAAAGTAAGAATTTCTCAAAGATTGACTGAGAAATTTCGATATATTGTTCAATTTGCCAAATTGAACTTCTTTTTTATGCTTCAGTCACATAAAATCGCACTAATTTCATCCTAAAAACACTTCGACGGCTGTATCAAAAACTATGAAAAGTCAAAATCCCCATTTTTTAGCGAAATTTGCTGAATTTTAATTCAAAAGCCCGATAATAGTTCGATAAAATATTTATTATTGCTCTGTAATAATTATTTTGCAAAGATTTCGGCTGATTTTATTGGTATTTATTAGAATATCGACTGAAATATTGCAAAATTTAAATATAAACAGAAAATATTAGTGTCAAAAAATTGATTTCAAATAAATTTGGACAACATTTTCTCCAAACAAGCTGTAAAAATTAATTTCTTCAGAGTTCTGTATTGAAGAAATTTAAGAAATATGTCATATTTTCTCATTTTAAGTCCTTTAGAAACGAATATTTGAGGAAAATCCTGGAAATCTGAAATTAAGTTGCATATGAAAGAAGCGTTTTTGCAAAAAAAACAACAATTTAGTGAACGGCGTAAATTATAAAAGGTTGATTTTTCATAATTTACGCTGCAACTCAAGAAAATTTTGAATTCTTGTATTTTTATGAGAAATTATGAAAAATCTCCTTTTCACAGTTTTCGATTCACCCGTCGAATTGCAAAACCATTTCGGAGATGTCCTTAAATGACAGAATAAGTAAGATTTATTCTGCAAGAGCTGCGATTTTGATTTGCCCACAAAATTTTATTGTTCAGCATCTCATCGCTTAAAAAGAAACATTTCTTTGGGTGAAAAGTGCTCAATGTGAGGCAATTTTCATGCACTTTCGGTTGGAATAAATTCGCACAGCGCCGAGAGGATTAAGTTTAAAAATTTGTACTGGCGATAATGATCAAATATCCGCAATATTTTGTGAAATATCGGAAATGTTGAAATTCCTTCTGCAATCCCCTTGAAAAGCACTTAATTATTCACATTGTTTGGGGTGAAATTTTCATACCCCGAATCAAAACAATGCCGGAAGGTGATTAAACATTCACAGATTTGATTGGAATGAAAGTGAAAGAATTAAGTGGTGAATAAAATATTACATTTGCTACAATGGATGTTTTAAAGTTTAATATGCAAAAACCCAATGAAATTTTCAGTGGCTTTTTCTCATTGTTAAGCCTGTGTGATTATGTGAGGGAAAATGTACAATAAGCATGATATTTGCAGGATTTTTGATGCACTTTGAGAGAGAAAATTCTGACAAGAGTTTGCAAACTAAATCGAGAATTTATGCTTCAATGGGGAGAAATATAAATAGTGTACATATAAGCTGCTGTGCGTTCTTTTTTCTCCCCAATCGACATCCCCAGCTTTTACCTTCTCCCCCAGTTTTGTCCCAAATTGCAAATCCCACTCTTTGTTTACATACACAGCATCCCAATCCCGTGTGTGAACTTCCATTCAGCCAGTAATATGCTGCAACTCATGCGAGAGTTTTCAATGGAATATAAATATGCTTATTTGTCATGCAAAAATTTTCCATCACAAGAAAACTTGGAGGGTTTTGTGCGACTCTTCCACCCGAGCTTCCAATGTTCGTCGTCACTTCGAGAGTCTGCAGAATTGACATGATTCCTCACCTTGGTGACGAAATGCCTCTTCACATTCCACCAGATTCTCGCGAGCATCTTTCTCACTTTGTTTATTCACACGGCACAAGACTTGACAATCGGCGGCACGAGGCGCCTCCAAAAAATTCAACAACGGCGGAGTGTTTTTTCCAGGAAAATTGTTCAAGTGTTTCGCTGTCGGAGAATTTTTATTTTTTTCAAGTTATTCCTCACTTGATATTCTCCTGGAACGATTGGTGATTAATTTCTTCGTCAGGAAGCATTAGAAAGAGGTGGTGTAAATTTTTGATAGTTATAATGACAGAATATCAATAAGGCAGAGATGTTTGAAGCAAAACTTCTCAGACAGAAGAGAAGAAAACTGAGAAAACTATGAAATTGTCAGGAAATTATAGCTTCTGATTGTTAATCAATTGGTTTTCCACCCTTTATCTATTCATATCTCTCAAAGTTCTTGTCTGATTCTTAAAATTAAGACAGATTCAGAATAATAACTTCATCACCTACAACTCTTTTGAACATGTCGAGGCAAGAAAATGACTTTCTGATGGTGTTAATGACCTTTGTGTGCAATAAATGTCTTTTTTACACACTTTGCAGTAAAGATCCACAAAAATATTCATATCAGCGCCATTTTTGGATGGATTTTCAAAATTAATGGCGTTTTGGAATCATAACTTCACAGCCTACAACTCTCTAGAACATCTGATTTCAGTCAGATTCAGTCCTCCTATGATTTGTAAGGCATTTTGCCATGAACAAAAACTGGGATAAACGTCTTCGTATTCATCTTGATGTGAAAATATTCATACTGCCTTAATTTTTCATCCGATTTTCAAGAAAAATAGCATTTTGAAAAGAGCAAAGAATGGCCTACAACTGTCTAGAACACATCAATTACGTAAGATCTCATCTTCACTTGATTTCGATGGGCATATTGCAAAATTCGTGGTTTTTCCCCACTTTTTTGCACATCTTTCGAAGACACTTCAGTGTCTTCTGAGATGCCCAGATAAGCCCTGCCAAGCATATGGTGGCTTGAAAAGTGTGGCATTGGGTGAAGAGTTTTGCGATCCGTTGGGATTGTTGGGGATGCGCCATTTGTGGCCAGTCTGTTGAAAATTTTAAGCGACAGACGCCGTCAGATGAGGCAATATTTCGGCATTAGTACGTGCGGAGTCAAGGTGGAAATGAATTGCAGTTGTTTGAGGGAGGAAAACTTTGCTTCTTCGCCAATTGCTGCTGGGCAAGATAGTGCGTGGGTGCCGAGAATTGGCGGACAATGATTCAGCCGCGATAATTTGTGCGGCTTCTCACGCGCGAAGGGCCTATAATTAAAATTGCTGTGGCACTTGGAGGGTGAAGGAGAGCGCAGGAAAAAAGCAACACACACCGGGAACCAATTAAAAACATAAATATTACCCTTGTAATTACACAGAGGGGTTGGGGTGACTTTTAATTAGGCACCACGACAGAGAGGTCATGGATGTAATTAATTGAACGGCCGATTCGCCGTCTACACCAATTTTGAATCGTTCGCAGCTAATTAATTGAACGACCAATTTATTTAAATACACTCTGGAGAGATGTCGAGGGATCTTTTGGCTCGCGCACGGCTGCCAGTGGCCGCGCACAGATGGCGCAGATGCGGTGGAGAGTTTTCCGGCGAAGTGCGCGTCTGCGATAGTTGTTGCGCGTATAGTACTATGTTTGAAGAATGTTTGCTGTCTCAGGAATTTCATTCATGCTTTCTCTCCCCCGAATTGTCTCTTTTCCTCCCCTTTGCCATTGACCGCTAAGCTCGCGAGAGCGCGCATTTGCGCGAGAGCCGCTCAATCGCAGCGTCTTATCGCGGCCACTCTCGCTCGGCATTCGTGTTATCACGTGTGGAGAAAAGAGCTGTGATAAGAGCGCGCGCGAGAGAGCCAGACGGAAAGTGTCTATATTGGTCTATATTTAAAGAGGCATTTCAGTGTCTCTGTTTTTCGTGGCTGTGCCAAAGAGAGTGAGAAGAAAGCCGCCCGAGAGAGAGAATCATGTCAAGAGCACCGAAACTGGTTTTTCTTGCCGAAGTTTCGCCTTCTCCCCAATCGCTTGTCAGTTCCTCGACGAGACATTTGCCGTGTGGCAGCTTTTCCCTCCGCCGTGCGCTCTCGAGTCTCTCCTCCCCGCGAAAAGGAGGTTTTCCCGCGGCGTGAAAGCATCCCAGATTGTGCGTGCGTGACCGACGTGAGCTGTAGCACTTTCCACGCACGTGTCCAGTGCCGGCGAACAGCGCCCCAGAGCCAAACCAGTTGCCGTGGAGTTTCTGTACGGGATTTAAGGTTAGTCAGTGACCTCTATTTGACTTTAAGCCGTCTCGGGGCATAAAAACATCGGAGAGACAATTCTCACATCACTCGCGGCGCCTTCGCGAGTGCATCGCAGTGTTGCAAAACAAATCATTAGTCTCCTTAGCGCACAAATAACAACATTCCCCCAACGCAATGCTAGAGCTTAATCAGATTTATAGTTGTTATGCTCTCGGCGATGCTTTTTGCCACATTGATAAGACGCGTGGGTAAATATTGAGTGGAAAATACGGAGCTTCAGGAAGTGAACTTGTGTACACTTTTCCTTATTTACTAGAATAACTAATCGTAGTGCATCAGTTGGCGTGAACTTTACGACAATCTGTTGATAGTGGAGTATTTTTGGTGTTGTGAAAAAATGACTGTGTTTATTTCATGCTGTAAAACAGCGCGCTCTTATGTGGGAAATGTATTTATGATCGTCGCTTTTTATCGATGAGAATATCATTTATGATATGATAGAATTTCTTGATATCTTGGAAGGGCGCAAGATCAATTGAATGCTGTTATACTTGACGATATATTTTATAAGACAATCAAATCTGAAGGTCCTTTACGCCCGACTTGGCATTTCTCCTGCCACAATCAGCGTTTCTCCTGTGATGTAACTGGCGTCGTCGGACAGAAAGAAAGCCGCAGGACCCGCGACTTCCTCCACAGTTCCCATTCTCTTCATAGGCATTTTGTAGTTGAAGACATCCTTAAACTCATCCGTAAGGGAGATCTAAAAATTTTTTTTTTAATAGCAATGACAAGATACTCATTTAAATGATTCATAAAGTCCTTAACCTTTGACATGAAGTTGGTATTTATCGGTCCAGAAGCCACGCAATTCACCCTGATTTTGTCCAGAGCCAAATTGTACGCAAATTCCTTAGCGAGACGTGAAAGTCCGAGCTTTGAAGTGCCGTAAAGACCAATTGTCTGTATAAAACAGATTTTGTCTGTATTTAAAATATGCTTCGTTCCAAAAAAATAACATTTTTCCACTCACGCCGGTTTCCATGAAAGCTGCAATGGACGAAATGTACAAAATACTTCCTCCTCCTTGTTTTCTCATCAGAGGAATGACTTCTTTGGTCATAAGAAATGAGCTTTTCATATTGATATTAAACGCTTTATCCCAGGCGCTTTCAGGACAATCAACAATGCTTCCAATGTAAGGATTAACACCAGCCATTGACACAAGAATATCAACTCCTCCGAACTTCTTCACAGCCTCACTTAAGAGATTTGCTCGTTCTTCAGCGTTTGACACGTGACACTTCACTCCGATAGCCTCGATGTCCTCTTTCCGAAGAGTTTCCACAGCTTTCTCCACATTTTCTTGCTTTCTCGAGCTCACGACGACCTTCGCTTTCTCTTGACCCAATCTTCGGGCAATCGCGAGGCCGATTCTTGAAGAAAAATTAAGGAACACTTGAGATTTTGGGGAATTTCCAACTCTTGAACTTCACTAACCCTTCCGTTGAAGCTGTCAAGACAGCGACTTTCCCAACAAATCTTGTTCCGTGAGTCTTCAGCATTGTTCCAGTGAAAAAATTAAACTGACTTGTAGCTAGGAATTGTCTTCATTTATATATCATTTTTGCCATAAAATATTTGATAATTCCGATGAGTGAAATAAAATTTTATAAGTCAATTGTGCAGCACTTTGAAAATTATAATTTTTATTAACATAATTTGCTCATTTAGGAGTTTCAGATTAAATTGAGCACAAAGTGTTCTTTTAATCTTTATGGTGAAAACACAGCATTTTGATCAGCAACCCAATCAGTGTCCCAAGCAACACGACGAGTTACAATTGCATGCTTTCCGACCGTCTAGAAGCCTTTCGCGTTTATACACCAAAGTTGAGAACAAGTAAGAAAAGGTGTCCAAAAATTGGTCGGTTCTGGGTAATGAAGCATATAAATGTCGGTCATATAGAATACTCATGCGACTCGATTCCGACCGGGAACTATCTTCCGGGATTTCCTCGAAATGCATTCAAGATGGTGGCGCTTCACGCGCGTCGAAGACTACGAATTTTTGACCACGGCCGCGACTCGAAAATGTACTACACAAACAGTCATATTTTCCGGTCTGGTCATTTGGTGTCACTTGGGATATCGTGTATTTCCACCCTGCTCGCTCAACATAGTCTAAAGATCTACAGAGACAAATTCTGCAGACTGTGTTGTGCAAGCAGGAAGGAAAAAACGCGATACGCATGCTGAAGAAAGAGATAAACCCGATCAATGGTTGCTAATCAAGATGCTGTATTTTCACCATTAACAATTGTGATTTAAGTATTACTGACACGTTTAAGATTACGGGCAATTTTACGAATACCATAAATTTATTTCTTACGCATGATAAAATGATAACGAATTTTTCCTGATATGTTTTCGTTGAATCATCATAATTCGGAAAATTACATAACTAGATGGATTTTTTCTCGCCATTTTGAAGAATCTTGCTTTAAACACTCTTTTTAGTAACAAAATATTCCTTTATTTAATTCTATAAGTATTAAACAACTTCTTTCTCTCGTACATAACGACGTAAGAAATTTCATTTTGTTAACCGTGCGTGTTTTATTACTGTTTTAAGTATAAAAAATTTAAAAAATAATACATACTTTTCAATATAAATTTATTCTGTCGTAATAATTGTTCCTGAATTTCTTGAAACACTGAATGAATTTATTAATAAAAAAATATTTCGTGAAAAACATAATTTTGGTAAAGGATTCAGCGTTTTTTTGTACTATTGAATTACGCGCGACTTGGCATTTCTCCTGCCACAATCAGCGTTTCTCCTGTGATGTAACTGGCGTCGTCGGACAGAAGGAAAGCCGCAGGACCTGCGACTTCCTCCACCGTTCCCATTCTCTTCATGGGCATTTTGTAGTTAAGAAATTCCTTGAATTCATCCGAAAGGCCGATCTAAAATTATTTTAAAAAAATGCAATGAGAAGATAAACATTCAAATTATCCTTAAAGACCCTTACTTTAGACATAAAGTTGGTGTCTATCGGCCCAGGAGCAACGCAATTCACTCTTATATTTTCCAGAGCCAAATTGTACGCAAAATCTTTAGCGAGTCGTGAAAGTCCGAGCTTTGAAGTGCCGTACGGCCCAAGAATCTATGAAGAATAAACTTTGCGTGTAGATAAAAAAGGGGTTTTTTCCAAAAAAAAAAATAACTTCTGTACTCACGACAGTTTCCACGAAAGCTATTACAGAAGATGTATACAGAATGCTTCCTCCTCCTCGTTTTCTCATCAATGGAATGACTTCTTTGGTCAAAAGAAATGAGCTTTTCAGGTTAACATCAAACGCTTTATCCCAGGCGCTTTCAGGACAATCAACAATGCTTCCAATGTAAGGATTAACGCCAGCCATTGACACAAGAATATCGACTCCTCCGAACTTCTTCACAGCCTCACTTAAAAGATTTGCTCGTTCTTCAGCGTTTGACACGTGACACTTCACTCCGATAGCCTCGATGTCCTCTTTCCGAAGAGTTTCCACAGCTTTCTCCACATTTTCTTGCTTTCTCGAGCTCACGACGACCTTCGCTTTCTCTTGACCCAATCTTCGGGCAATCGCGAGGCCGATTCTTGAAGAAAAATTAAGGAACACTTGAGATTTTGGGGAATTTCCAACTCTTGAACTTCACTAACCCTTCCGTTGAAGCTGTCAAGACAGCGACTTTCCCAACAAATCTTGTTCCGTGAGTCTTCAGTATTGTTCCAGTGAAAAAACTCAATTGAATTGTGGCGAGAAATCGTCTCTATTTATACTTGATCATGTTTTTCCAATAAAATACTTTATAATTCCGATGAGTGAAATAAAATTTTATAAGTCAATTGTATTGTATTTCGAAATCACCATTTTTATCAACATACTTCGCTCATTTTGGAGTTGCAGATTAAACTCGGACACGAAGTGCTCTTTTAATCTTTGACTATTGTGATTTAATTATTACTGACACGTTTAAGATTACGAGCAATTTTACGAATACCATAAATTTATTTCTTACACAAGATAAAATGATAACGAATTTTTCCTGATATGTTTTCGTTGAATCATTTTAATTTGGAAAATTACATAACTAGATGGATTTTTTTTCTCGCCATTTTGAAGAATCTTCTTTTAAACACTCTTTTTAGTAACCAAATTCCATTATTTTATTTTATAAGCATTAAACAACTTCTTTCTCTCGTACATAACGACGTAAGAAATTTCATTTTGTTAACCGTGCGTGTTTTTATTACTGTTTCGAGCATAAAAAATAATACATAGTTTTCAATATAAAATTTATTCTACCGTAACAATTATTCCTGAATTTCTTGAAACACTGAATGAATTTATTAATAAAAAAATATTTCGTGAAAAACATAATCTTGATAAAATTTCAAGGATTCAGCGTTTTTTTTGTAATGTAAAATTTACGCGCGACTTGGCATTTCTCCTGCCACAATCAGCGTTTCTCCTGTGATGTAACTGGCATCGTCGGACAGAAGGAAAGCCGCAGGACCTGCGATTTCCTCCACAGTTCCCATTCTCTTCATGGGCATTTTGTAGTTTAAGACATCCTTAAACTCATCCACAAGAGCGATCTAAAATAGTATTAAAAATGGTGAAGAATATATGATTGATAGGATTTATGTAAAGGTCCTTTTACGTTTGACATGAAGTTGGTATTTATCGGTCCTGAAGCCACGCAATTCACTCTGATATTTTCCAGAGCCAAATTGTACGCAAAATCTTTAGCGAGTCGTGAAAGTCCGAGCTTTGAAGTGCCGTACGGCCCAAGAACCTAAAAATAAATAAATTTTGTTTGTATTTAAAGAAAATGCTTGTTTCCAAATAAATATAACTTCTGTCGACGACGAACTTACGACAGTTTCCATGAAAGCTGCAATTGAAGACATGTACAAAATACTTCCTCCTCCTTGTTTTCTCATCAGAGGAATGACTTCTTTGGTCATAAGGAAGGAGCTTTTTAGATTGATATTAAACGCTTTATCCCAGGCGCTTTCAGGACAATCAACAATGCTTCCAATGTAAGGATTAACGCCAGCCATTGACACAAGAATATCGACTCCTCCGAACTTCTTCACAGCCTCACTTAAAAGATTTGCTCGTTCTTCAGCGTTTGACACGTGACACTTCACTCCGATAGCCTCGATGTCCTCTTTCCGAAGAGTTTCCACAGCTTTCTCCACATTTTCTTGCTTTCTCGAGCTCACGACGACCTTCGCTTTCTCTTGACCCAATCTTCGGGCAATCGCGAGGCCGATTCTTGAAGAAAAATTAAGGAACACTTGAGATTTTGGGGAATTTCCAACTCTTGAACTTCACTAACCCTTCCGTTGAAGCTGTCAAGACAGCGACTTTCCCAACAAATCTTGTTCCGTGAGTCTTCAGCATTGTTCCAGTGAAAAAACTCAATTGAATTGTGGCGAGAAATCGTCTCTATTTATACTTGATCATGTTTTTCCAATAAAATACTTTATAATTCCGATGAGTGAAATAAAATTTTATAAGTCAATTGTATTGTATTTCGAAATCACCATTTTTATCAACATACTTCGCTCATTTTGGAGTTGCAGATTAAACTCGGACACGAAGTGCTCTTTTAATCTTTGACTATTGTGATTTAATTATTACTGACACGTTTAAGATTACGGGCAATTTTACGAATACCATAAATTTATTTCTTACACAAGATAAAATGATAACGAATTTTTCCTGATATGTTTTCGTTGAATCATTTTAATTTGGAAAATTACATAACTAGATGGATTTTTTTTCTCGCCATTTTGAAGAATCTTCTTTTAAACACTCTTTTTAGTAACCAAATTCCATTATTTTATTTTATAAGCATTAAACAACTTCTTTCTCTCGTACATAACGACGTAAGAAATTTCATTTTGTTAACCGTGCGTGTTTTTATTACTGTTTCGAGCATAAAAAATAATACATAGTTTTCAATATAAAATTTATTCTACCGTAACAATTATTCCTGAATTTCTTGAAACACTGAATGAATTTATTAATAAAAAAATATTTCGTGAAAAACATAATCTTGATAAAATTTCAAGGATTCAGCGTTTTTTTTGTAATGTAAAATTTACGCGCGACTTGGCATTTCTCCTGCCACAATCAGCGTTTCTCCTGTGATGTAACTGGCATCGTCGGACAGAAGGAAAGCCGCAGGACCTGCGATTTCCTCCACAGTTCCCATTCTCTTCATGGGCATTTTGTAGTTTAAGACATCCTTAAACTCATCCACAAGAGCGATCTAAAATAGTATTAAAAATGGTGAAGAATATATGATTGATAGGATTTATGTAAAGGTCCTTTTACGTTTGACATGAAGTTGGTATTTATCGGTCCTGAAGCCACGCAATTCACTCTGATATTTTCCAGAGCCAAATTGTACGCAAAATCTTTAGCGAGTCGTGAAAGTCCGAGCTTTGAAGTGCCGTATGGCCCAAGAACCTAAAAATAAATAAATTTTGTTTGTATTTAAAGAAAATGCTTGTTTCCAAATAAATATAACTTCTGTCGACGACGAACTTACGACAGTTTCCATGAAAGCTGCAATTGAAGACATGTACAAAATACTTCCTCCTCCTTGTTTTCTCATCAGAGGAATGACTTCTTTGGTCATAAGGAAGGAGCTTTTTAGATTGATATTAAACGCTTTATCCCAGGCGCTTTCAGGACAATCAATAAGGCTTCCAACGTGAGGATTAACGCCAGCCATTGACACAAGAATATCGACTCCTCCGAACTTCTTCACAGCCTCACTTAAAAGATTTGCTCGTTCTTCAGCGTTTGACACGTGACACTTCACTCCGATAGCCTCGATGTCCTCTTTCCGAAGAGTTTCCACAGCTTTCTCCACATTTTCTTGCTTCCTCGAGCTCACGACGACCTTCGCTTTCTCTTGACCCAATCTTCGGGCAATCGCGAGGCCGATTCTTGAAGAAAAATTAAGGAACACTTGAGATTTTGGGGAATTTCCAACTCTTGAACTTCACTAACCCTTCCGTTGAAGCTGTCAAGACAGCGACTTTCCCAACAAATCTTGTTCCGTGAGTCTTCAGCATTGTTCCAGTGAAAAAACTCAATTGAATTGTGGCGAGAAATCGTCTCTATTTATACTCGATCATCTTTTTGCAATAAAAACCGTATCACTCCTATAAATGTAATGCGAGTTCATAAATTCATTGCGTAATACACGAATAATCTCAAGTGTATAGATTTGATTGTTGCTATCACGCGAATGTACTAAGTAAATAAAACGAATGGGAATTTGGCTCAGGTGTTCTGTAAATCAGCGTCACTTTTTATAATCATAAGTCCAATCAAATGTCATTCATACTGTATAATATCAATGAATTTCTTATCGTAGATATAAATTCTCGCAATTCTTGTGATTGTAAAACTTGATTTGAGGTCATTTTAAAGCCCTTCATGCAATTTTTTGCCTTGTTCTCCGCAGATGATGCGTCGATTCTCGCGCGTGGAGTCCGCCGGCGATCTGCTGGGCTACCTCGATCGCGGCCACTCCGCCAACCGGGAGAACCGCTGGACGTTCGAGGTGGCGTGGGAGGCGGCGAACAAGGTGGGCGGCATCTACACGGTGATCCGCTCCAAGGCGTACGTGTCCACTGAGGAGCTGGGCGATCAGTATTGCCTCATCGGGCCGTACAAGGACGCGTGCGCGCGCACGGAGGTGGAGGAGTACGAGTTCCCGCGCGGCAATCCCTACGAGGCCGCCGTGAACGCCGTGCGCGCCATGGGCTTCAAGGTGCACACGGGCCGCTGGCTGGTGGACGGCGCGCCGCAGATCATCCTGTTCGAGATCGGCAGCGCCGCGTGGCGCATGGACGAGTTCAAGGGCGAGCTGTGGAACGCCACGGCGATCGGAGTGCCTCATCTGGACATCGAGTGCAACGACGCCATCATCCTGGGCTACATGGTGGCCACGTTCCTGCGCGAGTTCAAGGACAGCGTGGAGCAGTACTCGCGCGAGAACGACCTCGGTCCGGCGCGCATCGTGAGTCACTTCCACGAGTGGCAGGCCGGCGTGGGTCTGATTGCGCTGCGCACGCGGAAAGTGGACGTCGCCACGGTGTTCACGACGCACGCGACGCTCCTCGGGCGCTATCTGTGTGCTGGCAACACGGACTTCTACAACAACCTGGACAAGTTCTCCGTGGACGAGGAGGCGGGCAAGAGGCAGATCTACCACAGATACTGCCTCGAGCGCGCCGCGTCGCATCTCAGCCACATCTTCACCACCGTGTCCGAGATCACGGGCTACGAGGCGGAGCACCTACTGAAGCGCAAGCCCGACATCATCACACCCAATGGCCTGAACGTGAAGAAGTTCTCCGCCATCCATGAGTTCCAGAATCTTCACGCCATGGCCAAGGAGAAGATCCATGATTTCGTGCGCGGCCATTTTTACGGCCACTTCGACTTCAATCTCGACAAGACGCTGTACTTCTTCATCGCCGGCCGCTATGAGTTCTCCAACAAGGGCGCGGACATCTTCATCGAGGCGCTGGCGCGATTGAATCACTATCTCAAGAATCAGATGCCCGACGTCACCGTTGTGGCCTTCCTCATCTTTCCCGCCAAAACCAACAACTTCAACGTCGAGAGCTTGCGCGGCCACGCCGTGACCAAGTCTCTCAGGGACACGCTGCAGACCATCCAGCAGCAGATCGGGAAGAGGATGTACGAGACGTGCCTGACGTAAGTATGAATAATCAGAAGGTTAATGGTCTGGAATCTATGGCTGATTGTGTTCTTCGCTTTCAGAGGACGTTTGCCGGAATCGTCAGACATTCTCATGAAGGATGACATCGTGAAGATCAAGCGCTGTCTCTACGCTCTGCAGCGCGATGGTATGATTGAGTCCAAATGTCTGATACTCTCATTCTGAAAACCGTGTCACCTTTCAGGTATGCCCCCGATAACAACGCACAACGTTGTGGATGATTGGAACGATGCCGTCCTCAATGCTATCAGGCGTTGCAATCTCTTCAACACGACCGGCGAGAGAGTGAAAGTGAGTATAATGATTGCCCTTATCGCTTATCGCACTCTCACCGCGTCTCGCCTTGCAGGTCGTTTTCCATCCGGAGTTCCTGAACTCCACCAATCCTCTGTTCGGTCTGGACTACGAGGACTTCGTGCGCGGCTGCCACTTGGGCGTCTTCCCGTCGTACTACGAGCCGTGGGGCTATACGCCGGCCGAGTGCACGGTGATGGGCATTCCCAGTGTCACGACGAATCTCTCCGGCTTCGGCTGCTTCATGCAGGAGCACATCGCCGACCCGAAATCCTACGGCATCTACATTGTGGATCGGCGGTTTATCAGCTTGGAGGGCAGCGTTCAGCAGCTGTCCAGCTTCATGCTGGACTTCTGCAAGCTAAACCGCCGCCAGAGGATCATTCAGCGGAATCGGACTGAGCGCCTCAGTGAGCTGCTGGACTGGAGAAATCTCGGCATCTACTATCGCCAGGCGCGAGTGAAGGCGCTCCAGACCGTCTATCCGGACTACGTGGACGAGGGTCCTGAGTATCTGGAGCATCGTGCCAACTTCAGCTATCCCAGACCACTCAGCGCGCCGCCCAGTCCCAGCTCGTCCCGCAGATCCACACCCGCGCCCTCGACTCACGGCTCGGGCGACGAGGACGAGGACTCTGTGGACGATGAGCTGGAGCTGCAGGAGTTGGGCATCAGCCGGAATGACGATTAGAAGGTGCTTCCGGGTCGCGCGCCAAGAAAGAGAGTGGAATTTTAATTAGACAAAACCTTGTGATTAGGACCACGTTTTTTTTAGATGATACTTCTTCCTCTCGTTGCCATACTACTCAATAAGATCAAGAAAAAAACACCATGTCTGCCAGAATTCCCCTAAGCATAGTATAAGTAATAAGCTACGAGGTTGCTTCTTTTTGCAGTGAAACTGTACTTTTGGTTGTGTGTATTGAGGTTCCACAAGAAAGAGTGAAATACAGACAACAGCTTTATTCATTGAGAGTCTTTCGCGTTGTTTCAATTCCTAAGCCACGTGCAAACGCTGGTTTTATTTACTCTTCGTTGATAACGACTTCACTGGGTATCAATTAATATACATTGTGATACACTATCGTTACAGCCAGCATCTCAATTATGTCTCTTATCTCAAGTCTTCCGTCGCCAATGTTAATGCTGGCATTGAAATTTTTTTGTGAAGATTAAGGTTCTCAACAAGTGGTTTCTCCTTCTCGCATACACTCTAGATTATAACGTCAAAGTAAGAGGCATTCTGTAATCTTTCTTGCATTCTTTATTGAATTTTGGCGATACGGTTGGGAAAGCTGATAAAGAGAGCATGCAAAAATGTTGAAATTCATACACTATTTAGGCTGGGCAGCGAGTGTAGCATTTTATAATTAGAACATCATATCTCTCTCGTCAACCCGTTGATACAGTGCTCAGAGAGGTCACGGGCTCCGTTGAGATACGGCGAAGAGGCACGTCAGTCACAGTACTCTCCATCGAGGCATCCGTAGCTGGAAGAGCAGAATTCACCGCCGTACTCGTTGCAGTAGGACTCCTGATTCATGTATCCGCAATCACTGGATTGGCACTCGTACGCCGAGCAGTATTGCGGACAGTAGCCGTGACCGTAGCAACCGGAGCAGTCTGGAAGAGGCGCAAGGTAGGTTAGGAGCACCGAAGGTGGCAGGGAAGGGCAAACCTACCGTGCTGCATGCGATAGTTGCAGCCTCTGCAGGGACGCGATCTCCTGGGTGGAACGACCACAATGGGTGGGCGATAGATTGGGCGTCTGGGTCTCAGGTAGATTTGAGGCCTGACGCACATGCTCGAGCAAACCTCCTTCTTCCTGTGGAAGCACCCCCAGGAGCCGCCCTCCATGGTCTTGCACATCCTGGGCGACATCACAGTGCAGCACTTCTCCGGGGCAGGAGCTTGTGTGACATATGTAACTGTTGACACACCACCTCCTCCTTCGCCACCTCCTGAGGAACTCACATTGTATTCTCCGCTTGATGTGAGATAGACCGTGACGTGGCTGGAGCTGTTCGCGTTGACATTAGTGGTGACATTAACGGGATTGTGGTTGTTGATCCAGTTGCTAATGTGGTTGGTTCCATGCGTTGTTCCACCGCAACAGTCTCCCGAAGGGTTATTTGTGCAATTGTTGACAGTCGTGCCACCAACGCACGTCAATCGGATGCACTGCCCCGAAGGTGTCATCTGGGTACCAGGTGGGCAGTCAATAGTTGGGGGTTTAGTGATTATTTTGGCATTTTCCCACACGCATTCTCCATTCTTGAGTATAAATCCAGGGTAACACTTTTGATAAGGGAGAGTCGGGGGAGAAACCTGTATATAGATGCACTTGCCGTTCTTTAGGACGAAGCCAGTAGGACACTCCAGTCTTGGGTGTATTGGATTGAGAGGCGGCACTGGAGTGACGGGAGGTTTGGGTGTTATCACTGGTGGAGTAGTAGGAAAAACTGGATGAATGGGAGGAGCAACTGATTGAGTGGGAACCACGCAACAAGGATTAGACATTTGGCTAACACCGCAATAAACTGGGTTCGGTGCAGTCTGGCAAGGACTAGTCGGAGTAGTTTGATATGGATAGCACAAATTATTCGCATAATAATAATTTGCAGGACAAGTTGGAGTAGTTATCTGGCATTGTGCCCCGTTCCAGACATAACCATACGGACAGGTTGGCGGAGAAACTGGCGGAGAAACTGTCGGAGGAACTGGCGGATTTTCTGGGTAACAAAGACTTCCTAAAAAAAATACAAATACAATTGACGCACATCCCCAAATTTAGGTAAGAGCGATTACAAACTTGCGGGTGATCCACGGAAGGATAAGCGAGAGTGTGTACAACTGACAGCTGGTTGAGCCATGAAACGCGACTGATCCCTCGATGAATCGAAGGTTCAACCGATATTTACATTTACATATATTCGATCACAGCGGGTACATTTATCACAGCCTCATTTGCGGCCATCGCCGTCTTAGTGTTGTTGACCAACCTCTAGGACAAAACGATATTTATGGGGTTCCCAACGGCAGCGCACTCAAAATGGCGGATCTCTTGCGAATGATTTCGTGGGCTCTCAAAATCGTTAAATTCTTCCGCAAATCTTTCATTTTCGGAGCGGAACACGAAGCAAAAGTGGCGCTAATGTCGACAAAGAAGAATAACTCTTGTGTTTAGCGCCAGTTCAGCTACGAATTATCGCTGATCTGAGCTTTCACACACTTCAAGCTTATCCACAGAGGACTGATCCCAGTTCCCGTCGATTCGAGGGTAACTCGTAAGTCTGTAATCGCTCTAACACAGCCTTCTTACCACTTAGATAATATCCAGGTGAACAAACATAGTTCGGATCCGTGGTCATTGGTTGATTTGTTTCTGGAACACACATATTGCCTTGCAAAATGTATCCAGCGGAACAATAGCTAATAATTGGACTCTTCTGCGTTGACACGTCAGTTTTGATGCACTGATTGTTTTGCAAATAGAAACCCTCAGCGCATGTTATCGTTGGCGGAACTTCGACTTGTGTACAAGTACTCGTATTGCCCGTATTACCCACACAAGGTGGACTAGTATAAACGGTTGCTGAGGAAATAGAAATGATGTAGTGAAGGAAAAGGGATGAAAAATGGCCAAATCTCACTTTGTGTGTTAGGATTTGCAGGAGACACCAAGTTGCTGACTTGATTTTCGGCGCTAGACACTCCCAAGATGGCACAGAATATTGCACAAGACCAGAGAACTTTCATCACTCCACCACAAGCCATGTTTGAGGCTTTGAAGGGAAGATTTGGGTGACTGTTCACAATCCCGTCCGCAGTGAGACTGAATTCCACTTTTGCCCAAAACAGTGAATCTTCACTAAAATTGTCAGATAATCCACAAAATGGTATCACGCAGAGGTCAAGATCGGTTTGAAAGTATCACAAAAAAGTTCATTTAGATTTCTCTTCTGCCTTTGAGCTGAATCTAAAAAATTGGCATAATTATTTTTTTTTATGAAAACGTGTTGTGATATGATTTTTTTTTGAAACTCCATGTTTGGGAAATTGAAATGAGGAAACTGTGTTTCTCAGTTCTTCGTAGAATTCCTGCGCTGTTCCTCAAAGCGTGATCAGCAAATTTACTGATAAATCCAACAGGCTTATCTTAGCTTTAACTGCTTCACACAGATTTGAGCCTCAAATTTTTCGCAAGGAAAAAAAGTCACTTGCGCAATTTGAGAAAGTCATATTTTGCAAATTCTCTAAATACACACGTTATCTGCGGAGGTCAGTGAAACCATGAGGGTTAATTTTGCATAAGTCACTCGCGAAAAGAGATAAGCGACAAGCCTTAATCGTCTGGTTAGACTTTTTGCAGCTATAGTTCTCTCCTAATAGATTCCGAATAGAAAAAAGTTACGCAATAGTTTGTTTTCATATTTTTTTTAATAGTTCGTTGAACTCCGTCTACAAATTACGCTTACGCATCTCACAACACATAACACGATGAAAATCTTGTATTGAATACAAAAGTTGTGAATGTTTCAAACACTGCTAAAATATATGTTAATCATATTAATTTTGTTACATAATAACTCCATATTCAGCACAAAGTCACAAGAAATTGATAAAATTTGTAATTATAGACAATTCCTGGAATTTGCGTAATTGCACGTTATCAACGAAAAATTTTTCCCAACCAAAAGACGACGGTTTATTTTAGAAGTTGGATTTTATTGTAAGGTTCTTGAACTTGCAAAAAATGTGTCTCCTTCAATTTCTTCTAAATTTAGGCTTATTTCTTTGTCTCTGCTTGAAGGAAACATCGCATCTAGCTCAGGTAGTCATCGTAGTTCTCAACTACGTAGTTTTCGTGTTCACCAGACGTGTCCTCGTCCTCTGCCCAGGGGATGTTTGAATTGGTCTGCTCCTTCTGCTTGATGTGGTGCGAATGCATGCGCCTGGGCGACTGATGGGCGTAGTGATAGTAGTAGGGATCGAAGTCGTGTCGTCTGCGATGGAACAACCTCTCTTCGTCGTCCTCCGAGTAGTACGGATACTTGGACATGGGTCTCGAGGCGTAAGGATTGTTATTCAGGTCGTTGAACGTGCAATTGCGAATCGTCACGGTGTTGTCGTCTCCGATGACTTTGCACTTCTGCACGGGCATGTCGAAGTCGTCCTCCTTGAAGTCAGTCTCGTTCAAGGGCACAGAAATGAAGCCATCATCCTCGGATTCCGGGAAGAAGTCTTCCGGCTCGGAGTCCGGCCAAACTGGAGGTCTGAAGTGTGGTCTGCGCGGGACATGATGATAGGGTCCGAATCCCCAGGCGGGATCAATGTACTCGTGACCGTAGCAGCCGGGGCCGCAATCCAGATCGTATCCGTCGTAGCATGTTCCGGTGAGGAAGCAAGGAGGCTCATGGTAGTAATACGGCCTGAGAACGGGTCCTCGGCGGTACATTTGACCGTATTCGAAGCCGTCATCGTAGCATCCGTGGCACTGAGGAGCGTGACCTTCGTAGTAGTTATCGAAGCCGTACCTAAAAGTCAGGTTGCAGAGTTAGAATGCGATATAATTCGAAGCGTTTGCACACAATTACCCGTAGTGTTCGTAGCATCCGTCGCAGAAGGATTCACGCCGACCTCCGCAGGTCACATAAGGCCACTGATGATGGTGGACACACCTAGGCTTAGGCTGAGGCACGTAGGCCACCCTTTCCTCGCAAGATCCTTCTTCGGAGCATCTTCTTCGCGGCACAGCGTGGATGACCTTCGAATTGCACTGTTGGCCGCAGGTTCGCCGGCGCTTGTGGTGGCATCGGTATCCCTGGGACGAGGCATGGCAGGATTTGGGACGCACAGAGATGCAGCAATCGCCCTTCTTCGAGTATCCCAAGCCGTACTTTCCGCCCGTTCGGGAGGTGTTCGTGTAGATGTGGATGTTGTTCACGTGCGTGGCGTTGACGTTGGTCGGCACGTTGACGACATTTGTGTTGTTGATGTAGTTGTTGAGCTTGATGACGGTCGTTATGTTCCTTCCGGGCGTCATGAGTGTGTCAATGCGATTGTCTGCTCCGTTTTGTCCTTGAATCACCACGGATTTGTACTCATTCGAGCAGTAATGTTGGCATCCAACTTGGCAGTTGACGTCGCCATTGCAGGCGGTCACGCAGTTGTTGTACTGCGGTGGACAAGCGGTGTTCGCTTGGCTAGACGTTGGACACAAAGGGCACAAATTCATGCAGGAATAGTTGTTCTGGCAGCCAGCCACGCATATGTTGTGGGCGTCGCAGTTCGTGGGCAGACTGGGCAAGACTGGCTGTTGCAGATACGGACAGACAGCTTGTCGCTTCTTTCGGCGCTCCTTCAGCTCCTCCACACACTTCTTGTACTTCTCATACTGAGTCTCTTCGCACTTCTCCTCATTCTCCTCGACTTCTTTGCACAGCTCGGGCGGGGCCGCTTTAATTAGGGCCAACAGAGTTGCCGCTATCACTAATCCTACCACCAAAAAACGCATCTACGGAATGATGAAGGGGAAGATAGTCAGTTATCGGCATATCAATCAATTAATGTGCATAAATTATCTCATTTGGCCATCGTGATACGATTATAAGCCCCCGAGACTAAGTGGGTCAGACTCGTCAAGGTGTGCTGCCAATGGAGGAAGTGACAAGAGCCGAACAGGCTAGAGAAATCTATCAATCGTTCGCAATTTTATTGGGCTGGTCATTGAATTTATCTACAACTCCACCCGCGATAACGCATTGTAACGAGAAAATCTAATTACTGATTGATCAGTGGTAGACATAATTTCTGGTCTTGTGTTCAACCATGTTGAACATGTTGAAGGACAAATCGTACAATCATTCCATGCTACAGGAATATTTAGGGACAGAAGGCAGAAAGGAGTCTGCATAATTTGCTGATGGCGATGATAAGGAACGTGATGAATTGATTGTGAGATCATCGACAATTAGTTTCCATGGGAATGATTGGAGTGAGTTTTCTGTGGTTACGGATAAAATTGCTGTAGCTGGGCGTACCGACTTATCAGCATACCGATGAATTTTCCCTGATAAACATTACGCAACGCACTTTGGCATATTTCAAGACGAGAAGAATGATCTCGAATTTTCCACTAAATGAACTACTTGGAAGGTCTTTGGGAGTCAGGATTGGGGCTAATTGGATCCTTGAAGTTCATGGATAGTTTTGAATTTAACCAAGCTTAACGAAACGCTGGGTTTTTTCCGTATCCTCTGTCGCTGATATCCTTTTGCACGATTGCACGAGTTGTCGTAATATTGCAAATAGTTTAAAATAATGTCTTTGTCACTTTCTCAGAGCCACTATTCGAGGAAATATCTTACCTTTGCGAATGACACGAACAGACTGTTTCGCCACTACTGAACTTGGCTCAATAAAGATTCTTTTTCCCAAAAGATAAGGGCACCCTTCAGTGTGGTGCGTACGCAGGTGCGTAAAACCTTCCGCACAGATATGATTTTTGCCAATTTTCAGTTCACTCAAACACACAATAATAGTTGTTAATACTGTGTGAATATAATATTAAATATTTTCTATAAATATTGCAAAAATTCACACTTAATTATACAATTTTCTTTCCGCACGTTTGCCAAAGGTTTGAACATGTTAAGTTCTTCGCACACGCATGAAGTTCGGCATGATAAAGCTGTGAGCAATTTGTTATCATAGGTGTAGGAGAATATGAAGAACAACACACTCTTTCATCAGGTACTTAAAATAGACTTTTGTATTAATAAATCAATAAATCCTGTGCGGACTCAAAATCTTGGAATTCCAAAAGACTGCGTTACACCGCATATCGACGTGTGAGGTTAAATTAATCCCTTTGACCTTCCAATGAAACACCCAAAATATCACGCTTAATAACTTCCCCATTCGCATGTTTTGGTTGAGATCACGTATGTTTGCTCTTCTTGTAGTTCATACAAGAGTTTCCGTAATGATTACGCCGTTGAACAATGTTGTATGACAATCGCCTGTCCATTTTCACCAACATTATCTGACCCATATACACATTTTTAGCTCCAAAATCGATGTGAGATTGCGTTATCTCATCAAATATCGCATAACTCTGACTAATTAGAAATTTCGCGAATTTGTCTTTATAGCTTAATTGAAATTTCTTTGTCGGCACAGAAGAAAGCATTACAATTTTACAGTATTTGCAAGGCAAAAACTTATAAGAAAATATTTAATTTGATAGCAGTGAGAGTCAATGTACTCATTCATCATACTTTCATTCACGAAATCCATAAAGATTGTGAATTTTAATCGACGTGTTGCTTTCTTGACGGAGGATTAGATAAGACAATGAAGTTCTCTAGAACTGCACAAAACCGTTAGCTTTCGAAGATAAGAGTGGCAGCTTATGCTGCATGGAAATTGTGCGTTGTGTGCATGAAGCAAAAGCTGCATGTAATTTTACACCACGCACAGTCCGCTCTTAAGTTAAGAGATGTGGTGAGAGTGAAAGAAATAGTTCGTGGTGTACAAATTTATTACAAATATACTGTCTCTCATATTTACACACAAAAGCTTATATATTATTATGAGGATTCCATATGATTTAGGGTCATATAACATTAATACAATATTATTACATTCAATCACGCACGATTCACTCTCGCAGCCACACGCGCACTCATAAGAGATAGTTATGGGAAATGCTGTTGCAGAGTCTATGGACGGAATCTGTCCTCTGGTGAGGCGCTCTGCAAGGCTTCTTTCCTTACAGATCTGCGGAAGAAAAGCACTGAAATTAGTATTGGAATTCGCACTCGACGCTCCACAATCTTACTCATGGTCTCTTGCTGTATCTCGACTTTATAGCTAGGATTGTCGTAGGACACGTCGTTCTTCCTGGGCGGCGTGATGGAGGCCGTCTGGTGAGCCCTTCTCCGTGTGAGGATCAGCAGCAGGATGAGTGTGGACATCACGGCCAGCGCGGCGACCACAGCGACGACCACCAGAGGTCCGTAGTAGTCGCCCGTGGGCTCGAGACTCTCTCCGCCGGTCAGCAACTTCCCAGTCTTGCCGGGCGTCGCCGGGCCGCCGGGTTTCGTGAGGAAGTTCACGACGTTGCTCTTCTTGATGTTGCCATTCGTGAGGTACATCTCCAGCCACAGGCGATACCTCGTGCCGGGCTTGAGGTCCATGATCAGCGCCCCTTGGCTGGAATCCCTCTTGGCCACCTTGAACACACTCGAGTCCTCCTTGCCGGCGTCGCTTTGGTAGATCGCGCGGTAGATGTTGACGAACTTGTCCTCCGGATAGGGAACTCCGCTCCACGACACCTCAACGCTGCTCGCCTTCACCTTCGTCACGTTCACGACCACCTCGAAGGCGAACATGTCGACCTTGATAGCGGTGGACAGTTTCACCATTTCGCCCGCCAGGAGCTCCGCTCCGTGGCCAGCGAAAGGGATCAGGAAGAGGCCGACTTCGTAGCTTGTGTCAGGCTTCAGGTTCTCAATGGTGTACGTGGTCAGCGTCCTGTTTGAATAAAACAATGAATGAGGACACCGAAAATGTGGTTAATTTTGGTTTTATCAACCTGAAATCGACTGAAATCTAACTCAAATCTAACTCAATTCTAACTAACAACATTATAATAGTGGTTTTCACGTAATATTTCACGATATTCTCCTTTTCATTGAACTTTTGACCACTTTTTCACAGTCATTTCAGCAAAGAGCGCTAAGTACCTGTGGATCAGAGGCGTGGCGTCGTAGAGCATTCCTGATTGCTCCTTGAAGCGCAGCTGAATTCCATCCACATACTCCATCTCGTCCTCGTGCAGTTTGTTCCACTCAAGTCTCAGCCACGTGGAGTTCTTCTCCACAGCTCGCAGTTCCGGATCTGTCGCCTTCTTGAGGATGTCCGTGAGATGCGGCTGATGGTAGTCAATGTTCGAGGGCGGCGTGATTGTTCGCTCCGCCGGCATCTTGACAGTGTAAATCTGGCTGGTCGGCTGCGAATTGAGGTCGCGCAGAATCAGGGTGATCTTAATCTTGTACTCCGTGTTGGGCTCCAAGCCGGGTAACTCAAATTCCATCTGAGACGTGGCGATCAGGTCTTCAGGCGGAGCAAATACTTGGCTAGTCCAGGTGGAGGTGTCATTGGATCGGCCGTTGGTGTAGCGCAGCTCAACTCTCCCGTGGAGGCCCACGAAGACCTCAGGTACGATGAAGATGATCCTGACGGTGCGCGGATCGATCGCATCGAGAGCCAGAACCTGAAGATTGGGCTGAATAGCGGGAAAACCTCCAGGAACTCCTGAAAGCACACACAAAGTTATCACAAGTACTCTTAAGCAGATTGTTCGTATTTTAACCTTCACATCAGTTCTTACATGGTGAAAAATGCTTAAAGTTTAACTTTCTAGAAGTGATCAAAGTCGGAAAATGGTTGCAAAATGGTAGAAATTACAGTCATTTCTGCATTTTGTACTAAAGATATTCATAGCGACGCTATTTCTCGGCGCATTTTCAAAAATAAAAGCGTTTAAGAAAGAGTAGAAAATAGCCTACAACTCTCTAGAACATCGTATTTCTGTTAGACAACGTCTTCATCTGTTTTCAATGCATTTTTCACCATGCAGAGACGCAACACAGACCACAAGTCTGTGTTTGACGGTCTGAAAGGCGCAAGATCAAAGGCATGCTGGGAAAGCTCAAGGCAGATTAGGGCTCAGATCATGCATGATAATGAGAACAAGTGGTCAACCTGGAGGAGGAACTACAACGGGTCTGTGAGGCGGAAGGCGATGGTCGTGCGGATCTCCTCCGTACGGGTATGGCACATTAACGTTCTGGCCGTGCAGCAGAGGCGCGCCGGCGCCCCCGTCGGCCGCCTGGATGTGCTGCAGGATCTGCTCAATGGTGAGATGCTGACCGTAATTGTGGCCACTCTGGCCCAGCACATTGAACAGCTCCGGCGGCAGCGGCTTCTCCATGGCGTGCGACTGCGCCTGGTTCTGATACTGCCCTGGGTACTGGTGCTTGCCGCTGGTGGCCGGATTGAAGTATCCCGGGCCGGGCTGGTTCTGCCGGATGTCGTCATCGTAGTTGACAAAGTCAAACTTATTGTGATCGCCCAGGAGGTGGGCGAACGGGTCGTGCGACTGGACCTTTTCGGTCTTGTTCTCGTCCTTGTGACTCTTCTTGCCCGGCTTCTCCTGCACCACTCCCTTGGGCGCCTTGCCGTCGGACGTGGGATAGAAGGGCTGAGACTTGTTGTCGCCGCCCGCCTCCCTCTGTGGCGGCGGCGGCGTCGGCGCTATAATTGCATCATGGCCTACATGAATACACAGAATGAGTGGATGAAATTACTGTCCGGTCAGAGTCACAGTTTTGGTCAATGAAGTCTGAACAGTTAATGACTACAATGAAGACTATCTTCTGAATATTGAGAAAGTGTGCAGCTCAAAGACTTAGGTGTGTGATATTAATACGAGCAGTTCGAGGTCTAAGCTGAATCGGCCATCTTGCACTTACCGAATCCGCTGCCGGGTTCGTTGGAGCACGACCACTGCTTGCAGCAGTCATCGTCCGGGATCAGGACGAGTCTGGCCGCACTCGGGTGGCAGGGCAGGTGAGCCGGAGGCACAGCCGGGACGGGCAAGCACGCGGGTCGGCACTCAACCGTTCCGCGCTCGCAGTAGCAATGCTGATCGCATCCCGTGAGATTGGTGGGGATTTCGGACCAGTTGTCGAACATCTGTCCCTGGAATTCGCACGTTCCGTTGTCCACGCAGCGCATCCGTTCGGGGCAGCACTTGGGCGCGATCGCCCTGAACGTGGCCGGATCCGGCTCCCAGCGCAGACAGTGGGGATTGAGGACGTCCAGTCCGAAGTGCGACGGACACTCAAGCTTGGCGCAGTGAACTCCTGCATCCGTGCAGATGCAGAGCGCTGCGCAGCCGTCGTGGAATTGCTCTCCCATCTTGTACTGCTGCCCCTTGTACTCGCACGGCCGCTCGTCCCTCTTCTCGCCGGACGGCGGCTCGCCGTCGGCCAGCGTGACGTCGCACAGCTCAATCTCACAGCACAGATCCGTCGGATCCTTGACCTTCACGCACTGGTCCGACGACGTCTCGTTCATCTTGTGGCAGCGCGGCTCGCACGTGACCTGGCCAGTGCTCTGGCACTTGCACACCCTCTCGCAGCCCTCCTCGATGGTGGCGCCGTGGCCGTACTCCGTGCCATTGTGGACACACTTCCCAGCAACGGCGGCAGTTGAATTCGTGGCGTCTGCAAAATGGGAACAACGCGCGGCTTGAGCATTTGTGATTGTGAAAGGTTGAGACATTTGATGCTGACCTTCGGTTCTGAATTCCATCTCCTCGTCCGATGCCGTCGACTCGGAGCACACCATCACGGCGCAGCACTCATCGGCGGCTGGCTTCTCGTGGCAGTGCGGATCGTCCAGCACTTTGCCGCGCTTGAAGAAGACGCCCGAGCATCGCGGTGAACATTCCCATTTGCCATTCGCCCGGCAAATACAGCGTTCATCGCATCCTCGATCGCTCACGTCGTGCAGCTGTGGATGAGACGCAGCGTCATAAAAGTCATTCTCGTGAATTGGAGCGAAATTGACTGAATCTCATTTGCACACTCATGCTATCAGGCGAGATTATGCATGCTCTTATTATGTGACTGTGATGATATTTTCGTGAATATTTAAGTTTCGACAAGAAAGAAAGTGATTTGAATTTCTTTAGGCAAATTATTGCATATATTAAACATCTTTGGTTGGATCAATTTGTCTAGACAAATCTCGCTACTTCCGTAATCAACCATCTACATTATTTATTAGAGCTTTTTCCGCCATTTTGAACACTCTTAAAACACCTTTTTCTCATTTACTCAGTTCCTTGATTTTGTAGCGGTCCGAAATTTTAGTATGTTACACTTGATATTGAGACCTTTCTAACGAACCCACACTTAAGACTCTATGTCCTTCCAGACCTTAGATATTGAGGATCAAATTTCATGAATAAAAACGGAAATAACTTCGGTTCTAATTCTCAGATCGGAACAATTTTGAATTCATTGGAAAGGTTTCGTAAAATGTCATCGCCTACTTGAATATCATATCTTAGTAAAACCACCGCTAGGAGCGCTAAAGTTAGTAAAACCATTTCTGAAACTTTAAAATTGTATATCTCAAGAATGAGTCGATGCATTTTCTTCAAATTTTAGTATGTTATAGCTAAGATCAAGACCTTTCCAATGAACCGTCACTTAAGAAGATAGAAACTTTAGAAGAAGAGTTATTTTTGTTTAAAGTTTAGATTGGGAAACTTTGCTTCTTTTTGCCAGATTTGAATAGTTTTATCGCCTTCTTGACTTTCGCAACGCTACAAAGTAAATTTTCAATCAATAAATATCTAATAATGCTAATAATCATTACAATTATTCAGCGATGTGCAGAGAAAAAACTCTGTTAACACGATTAGCTTCACTCTGGGGAGAAGTTAATTATTTTGCAGATTTATTGCCTTTTAATTGTAACGTTTACACATTGCAAACCATCCCTAATGAAGCGCCCAGGTTGATTGGCGGACTTTGTGAAATTATCATAAATCAACGGCCTAATCTGCAGTGTTGTGTAAATAATATTGTGGCTTTTGGAAAACCACGCACTGGTCAAGGTGCGCGTCTTTCGAGTCCACTGCAGAGGCTTTTTTCTGTGTTATTTTTTACCCTCATTAATCAATCATCAAGTATTCTCATTTGCCATCGATTTGCATAATTTCTCAGTACTCTTTTTATTGACTAAGTGGCGCTCAATTGACATGATTTCTCTGACATTTTGCCAGCAAATGAGCTGATTATAAATGGTTTAGAGATAACTTTTCAGAGATTTCCCCAAAGACGCCGCTTCGTCTTCTCGTGTTGGATGGACTGTTTGGCGGCGAAAGTCAGTGAATATCCGTCGGCTGGGCGAATTAAGGTATAATTATGATGCCCAATGGATTGAGATCATCTTCTCTTTCACGTAATTTCCCGCGCGTCTGTGGAACACAATCGCGCCGTGGAGGATCTTATGCAACATCTCGCGATCACTTTGGCCGTTCAGTTGCATCTCGGCAGTGCATTAGATTGCGATGAGGCGACTCAAGGGGGAGATATTGTGTCTCAAATCTGTGCACAACTTCCTCTGCAGAATCTTCAACACTTCAGACACGTCTGAACGCCTTAAAAAGGCATTTTTTAGACTCATTTAACTGTTTTTCGCACTCATTTCGAACTTATTACAATCTAATCTAGATTATTTCGGCTCAAGAGGTTAAAAATCCTCAAATACTTAGATTTTATATTGTAAAAACTGGATTATAATGCACCAGAATTTGTTCATGATCAATTTTCATTGTAATTTCTTAGTTTTGTCTTCGGGAAGTGCTTAGAAAAATTTTGACTAAATTGTGAGGTTAAAAAATCCTTTTTCACCCAATTTAATTTCTTTAAATCGCGGGAAATTTGTAAATATGATGAATAACTCAATGTTTCTGCAAGAAATTGAGGTTGAATTTGACACTTTAAAAGCACAAAGAACGGAAATAACAAGACAAAGAAATGTTCTTCAAGACTGAAGTGATATTTTTAACACAAATGCTCGAATATAAGTAAGAAAAGTGAAATATTCTCAGTTTAAAAACAAATTTGATGTTTTTGAGCATCTCTTAATCACCAAAGCAATAAAATTGATTTTCCTAAGCAAAATAACTAAGAAAATGCATGAATTTGATGCAATTGGTTCTTTTGGAGTGCAAATATTCAAAAACTTTACGACTTTCTTAAAAGCTGTACACCACTTCGCACCATAATATCTGCCCCTTGGGGAGACCGTGTCTCACCAGGTGAGCCGGCGAGGTTGGAAAAAGGCTGTGAATTATAATTCTGCACAATTTTCTTGGATGTTGTGGGCAACATTCACTCGTCACGATCAACAAAATGAAGTCACCGTGTTTTTCTCTCGCTGCACATGCACAATGTTGGGCGAGAATGATGAGAACCCCACGGATTTTCACTGATTCGCTCACTCGTGTTCGGGGGGATTTATATGCCAAGCAGCACACAATTCTAGTGGATGCCAAGTAACAAGAAATTGCATTAGCACTTGAGCAATTGCTGGCAAAACTTTTCGATGTCACAGAGAGAGAGAGAACACCGCATGTCAATGGATAATTGGGGGGATTTTGATTAGAATCCCCGGCAGATTTTCTTGCAAAAGCCACCGTGAAATGTCCAACAGTTAGCTTTTCAGTTGAGAGAGAGAGAATTACACGGAGACTTCTTTTCCCTAACAATTGCTTTTTGTATTTCCTCTTGGTGTTGGACAGACAAAAAAAAATCGGTCACATTTCTTTCTCACTTCCATGGCGAAATGCCGCGAGATTTCTCCTCTCTCTCTCTCATACTCTTAACAAAAATTTAAAATTACATCTGTTATATTGCTCAATTCACTTGGAAATCCCACACATTAATTGGCTTCTGTTAATTGAGCATTTTCACCATGAGAACACACCGCATTTCGGTGGCTTCTCTTGTGAGAGATTGGCAAAAGGTATGGGGCTTAAGACGGGAAGGAAGAGCCTGGAGAATGATGTCTTGGGCGCGCATTGCTATGAGACGAAGAAACGCTGAAGAAAAGCAAAAGAGCAGAAACTCTATATTTGACGGTTGTGTGATTTGCTTTAATTCAGTGCTAATTGAACCGCGAAATACGATGTCACGACGGTACACGCATTAAAGCATAACCAATTGCAAACCATTACCGTTACCACAGTTTAAGACATCTCTCGCCAAATCAGCTAATTGATTGCTGAATCACCAGATAACAGAGCCTCTCTTCCACCTGACTTTCTCTCCTGCCTTGCAAATTTTCACAGGAGAAATTTGTCACTATTTGCATATGTTTCTCATTGAAGCTATAATATTCATCGCAATCCAATGAATATTGATCAAAATTGCACAATCTTCAAGAAACTCTTCAAATCATTGTCCGGATTTCATGACAGTGCATTGAAATTTCTCTTATGAAATTCACTTTTCAGATGACTTCGTCAGCAAACGATTTATTTATCAATGTAATTTGTTTACGACAAATGAATTTTTCCTCACAATTTCCTAGAAAATGCAGTAATTTCGCCTCTTCCTGCCTTCGTTTTGTCAATTTTTCTTACTTGCAAATATTACAGTTTTACGCAGTGACACGGAATACGCACAGCACGTAATTCTCTGAGATGCAAACAACTTTTGATAGCACAGCACATGACAGAAGAATAGAGTTTAAACTCCACATCATTCTTGCACTGCAACCGTGTTCCTACTCCCCGCCAAGGCAGTGTAACTCTTGCTTAATTACTTTCATCGTTGAATGCTACACCGCGTGACCCAATTCTGCATCTCTGCGCAGAATTCTTCAGACCATAATAAATACTTGTTGCTCTGCAATTGAACCAGTTTCCGCGAGTAACTCTCGAGAGAGGAAAAGAAAAGAAAAAGAAAAACCCGAAATCCAATAGGCGAAGTGACTAAATAAAGTCCAAATGAGCATTTTATCTTGTCAATCAAACAAGTGAAAGCCGCTCGTGCGAGAGTCCGCGGAATATTTCGCGGCTGAGAGATGCGTTTGTGAGAAATATTTCTCAATCGCTCCTCATCTTTTCGCGCAATTATTCGAGTGTTCGGAACAGGAATGTGAAATCTCGCTGGAACCGCCATTGAATTCATGAGTCTTGCATGCCTTATCATCTGGAATTGGACGTTTTTGTGCCCTCAAGGGGGAGATATTTGTGCTGGAAGTAGTGTGCAGACCAACAGGAGTCTTAAACATCAACTCTTGCTCTTAGAGACCCATCCCACTACGTTTCCTTAGGGATTAACTGAGCATAACAAACTGAGCACAGATTTTAAAGTCGTTTTTCCACTTAATTGTGGATTTTAAGTGGTTCAAATCAAAAGACCACGACTTAATTAGCAATAATAAGCACGAATTAGCTCACTAGAATGAGCTTAAATGCCTAAAAGAGCACAAAAAGTAACCTTGTTGCTCAAAAAGTTGCTCAAAATTGGCAGTTTTAGCTTTTTCTACCTCTTCCTGCAACTCCTGAATAAATTATACAGCAGAAAAGGATCTTTTCTTGCTCACTTGAGCCAAAAATGAGTGCGAAAAACAATGCAAATTGTGCTAGAGTCAAACATAACCTCAAAAATACGTTTCAAGCTTAGCTAATATTCACTTTAAGAGTTTTCTGATCTGAATTGAACTCTTAAGTGATGGAAATACTTCAGCTCATCCCTTTGAAGACCTTCAGATCAGTTCTTTACGATCTCTTTATGTTGTTTTTGAGGTTATGATCGATAAAATACCCCAAAAAATGATTTAAAGCAGATTTTCACGAACAAATCGACTGAGAAGCTAATAAATCCCTCAGCTTAAGTTGCCAATTTGTAGGTTAAGAAGTGACGTGTGATTCTGACCACATTATCTCCCCCTTGGCGGCGCAAATTCCCGCGCACTTGACCGCAAGGAGTCAGGACTCACCTTGAAGCGCTGCCCCTCGTGCATGCATGCTGTAATTGGAGCTGAGTCCTCGTCTTCTTCGTCCATGCTGACGTCACTGAGGTCTATAATCGGCTTCCGTGTGGCGGCACCTGTTGCCGCCGTGACATAATTGATCGGATTGACTGCGGAGGACATGTCGGCAGGAGACAGTGTGGTCTGTCGGCCGGCATCAGCGTCTCCGGCGTCCATCGAGGTGAAATTGATGGCTCGGCCTCTGGCTTCCTGCGCCGGAGGCGTTGTGGACGGATTAGTCGGAGCAGCTTCCGACGGAGATGCAGTGCTTCTTTCTGTGTCAATTTCACTTCGGACAGTCGTTGGGAGGAATAATGGGCTGCCTGTGTCGTTTTTGCTCAGCTCGCCGGCCAATGAATCTGCCATTGATGTGCTCTTGTCCTCTTTCGGTGCTGCTGACGGACTCTCTGTGGTGCCATCTTGAGCGCCTCCACTCTCCACGTCTTTTTGGTCAGCTTTTTGGTTAACATCCACCCCCACAGCTGTGGCATTGTCCGTGGACGCCATCAGTGGCACAACTGCCGTCCGATCGGGCTCAATTTCGGGCGCCGCAGTGGAATTTGCTGCAGAGTTGAGAAATAAGAAGAATTCAGTGTAATTTCATCCACTATTATAGAACTTTATGCCTATTAAGATGTCAAGATTTCAATTTAATCACTCTAATCGCGCCATCTTATCTCAATTGCCAGTCAATCTCTCTCACTTTAGTGGCGCTTTTGCGATGTGCAGACAAATAAGACAAGTGTGCGCGATTTTATCTACTCAAACCCTCTCAACTTTGAATCTCTGCGGATGTTTATTGGAGGGAGAGAGAGACCATCGGATGCACTTTTCTTATAGTTTCAGAGAAGAAATGTGGCGAAAAGGAATGAAATTGACATTGTGTGAAAGTCTCACTCATTGTTTTTCACCATTTCTTTTCCATTTCACTCCGCCAATGTACACACATGAGTGTGATTTCTTTAACATCCCATAAAGAGCAAACAGCGTGTGTTTGGGATGTGGGAAAAACGACTCACCTTCGCTTGACTGTGTTGCAACCAATTGGCACATGAGAGTGGCTATTGCCAGCCAAAGAAGAACTTTCAAATCCATCTTGGCCGCGCGGCGCACAAATCACCTCTCTTTGCCAAAAAGACTGTTCCACGACAAAGATTTGATGGTCTTGCGGATGATTTTTGAATGAAGACTTTCTTGTCGCGCAAAAATTCCTTTCACCACCACAAAACAACACTCAACAACACTCTTAATTAGCTGGTCAATGGATCACTTTTCATCTTATACAGCTGCCGCATCTTAAGTGTCTCTGCGTCGCGGTTTGTCTTCTTCCCTCCTTCACCCAAATCTCTTATGCATGCGCGGCTGAAAGGAAGATGAAACCGCGGATTTAGTGTGTTGGATTTTCTTTTGGGAAATTCTTATGTAAATTTCCATGGGATGTCTTAACGCATTGTTCGCCGATATTACACTGAGAATTTGCATTGATGCGAGAGAGATCGACGGAAGAGGTTTAGTATGCACATTGTGGCTTCAAGAGCGAAAATGAAACTGACGGATGATGTCATAGGTGGAATCTTATGTGGTTTTTGTCGCTCAGGTGGAATGAAGAGTATTTGTTGAGCAGAAATAACCGCCAAAATCAAAGGAGGGGAAGAGCACAGTCAAGTGGGGACAAAGAATCATTTGAAATGTTGAGGAAAATCAAGGGGAAGATATTATAACGAGAAGTGGTGTACAGCTGAGTTGAAGTATTTGTGAAGTGGAAGTGCGTGAAAATTTGCAATTTACTGCATAAAATAATACTAATTTAGGTCACTTTCATTGGAGTAACTCATAAATAGATTACTAAAAATATTTTTAGCACAATCATAACCTCACATTTTAATTTAAAAGTGTAAAAAGCTTTTAAAAGTAATTCCTAAGTGAAAGTGCGACAATATTTCCCTGTTTGTGCTTCAATTTTAACAAAAATTAGTACAAATTTTGGATTTCTTTGCTAATATTAACGAAAAATAATGATTCTTTAGATCATTTCTAGGTTATGTTACAAAATAACTTCCAAAATCATTAAACTATGCACCTAAACTGGTTTAATTTGCATTTTCTGGCACAATAATGATGAAATCTCATAAAAATCACAAGATTTCAATGCAAAACTGTGTTAATTATAAAAAAAAATTGAATCATAACCTCTAAAATATTGTTTCAGAGTAGAAAATTGTGTATTTTAAGAGCTCTTTGATTGATTTTCTACTCTGAAATTGAAAATTTTCCCTAAATGTTGCCTTTAAGAGCTGCTAAATAAGTGTTTTTCTAGGATTCTTTTGAAATATCTTGAGATAATTTTGAGGTTATGTGCTTAAAGTAAGGTAAATACATCAAAATATCCACTAAAAACTAGTTTATCTATCAGTTTTTTAGTGTCATTCAAGTAAATTTGAGTGTTTTTAAGTCAAGAAATCCTAAATTTCTGGCCACAGTCTGGCCACAGTATCTTCCCCTTGGGTAAAATGGTAATTGCTCGATAAATATCCGCCCTTGGGAGGTTTTTCTCTTAACTCGGACACATTTTCGCCATACCGCACATGACTTCGTGGCAAATCAAGGATACCGATAGTGGCGTTATCAGTGAATTAGTTGCACACGCTTAAAGAGTATGTCGACTAATTGACACACTTGTCGGGGCGATAGTTTCGACTGAATAAATTAAAACACAGTCACCAAACGGACAGTGCGCGATGGGTAATTAACTCGATGGCTTTTAGTGTGAAATAAATTAGAATTTAATGAATCCATTAGGTCACAACTCTTCACACTTTGCCACAAGAGCACAAACAGCCTCGGAAGAAGCGCACAATCAACCCAAGATTGACCCCATCAGTTGGAAGTCTGGCAGCGACTGAGCCTCGCCGAGCATTCTATCTTGGGCTTCCTTCAAGACGCTCAGCGTTCGTGTGTGAATTCTTCAGCTGCCGCCTAATCCCAACTATGGAAAAACCTGTTCTTCATCTCGAATTAGAGATAGCGCAATTCACTCGTCGTGAGAGGCTACAAAATAGAAGACGATGCGGCCCAAAAATGTGCCTCAGCATCGCCAGAGAATGGAGAGAAGGAGGTGAACTTCGTCGACTGTTCGACACGTGATTCTTGCTATTGAAATGACGAAGCGTTCAACAATTGATTATATAATGATCCACCAAAACTGTGGTGGTCAGGAGGTGAATGTCGGAATCGTCAAATGTCTTAAACACTTCTTCGTGAGCTTCTTTGACTGGTCGTACAGTGGGTGGAAGAATGACAGTGACATGGGTGAGATTCTGAGGAATAATTCTTCACCAAATTGAGAAGCGTGAGACGTTAATCTTAGGGCAAAAAACACCTGATCGTAATTAAAGTCAAGGCGGAGAAAATATGCCTTCAATCTGTGACACACTAATTACTGACTTATCACGATATTATCTAAGATTTGCCTAAATTGTGAGGTTATGAATTCGCTTTCAAAATTCTTCTTGGCTCTAAATGAGTAAATATAGAGAACATCTTAATGTTTTAACTAGAAAATGCGATTGAATTTGCCACTTTTAAGCTCAAGCCGTGGAAATAACTCAACGAAGACACATTTTTCTACACTTAAATAAGATTTTTTGAGGTTATGTTTGACTTTTAAGCTTTTTCTAAGTCAAAATGAAGTTTTTTCAATCAAAAATGCTCAACTCTGCTAAGGAAAACAGAAATATTTGTAGCTTAAGCACAAATTTAATGCTTTTGAGAGTTATTTAGTCACTAGAATTTATTTGAAATCAATCACATAACCTAAAAAAGCAACAAAATTGATTTTTTTGAGCATAATAACTTGGAAAATGTCTCAATTTCTTGCAACTGAAGCTTTTGGAGCACAAATATTTGAAATATTTCACCACTTTTAATTTTTAACACTTCCACAAAAGCTGTACACCACGTCGGATCATAATATCTTCCCCTTGATTAAAGTCTCAAATGCGCAAAATTAAGTCTCATATGGAATTTTCTAATTTACTTCGCTCGTGATTCGCTTGTGGGATTTAAAGTTGAGAGTGTTTCTTTGGGAAATATACGAAAAACGTTTCAGACACAATTTCAACCTTTCTTTTGACACGAGTAGAGCAGATAATGAGATTCTATAAGATTCTCATAAGCAATTTCACTCAAATACTTTCGAGACACACTTTTATTTTCCACACTTGTTAGCGCCGCCTGAAGACGACTGCGAATGATGGCATTCTTCTGTCCACAAGTATCACTTATCCATTAACCCTCGCGCATATTCCAATTAATGACCTTCTGAGCCACGCTTAGAACAATTAATATAATGTCCGGAAACAAGACATTAACCTTCCTGATCAAGGGAAGAAGCTCGAATTGTTCTTTGCCACTCAACAAAGATGACTTCATCGAAGGCTCTCTCAATGTTAAGATAAAGAATGAAGAAAAAAAAACCTCTTCTTCCACACTTAATTGCATATCGCAGTTTAATTGCTATTCATGGAAAATCAATGAACTGCATTTACTGCATGGAATGCAAACACTGCGAAATTCGCGATGCAAGTTAAATACTTAGAGCGGAAATATCAAGATGTGCGTCATTTTCCAATGAAACTTCATCGCGTTGCAATTCTTGCGTCAGATGACAAATCTTGCTACTCAGGAATATTTGAGGGGATTCTCTTGACTTGGGAAGACCGCTGAGATTCTGGGCGCCATCAACAGAAGATTCCGAGAAGAACCATTTTTCGCTTTCCAACTCGATGATTCCGCAACAGCCACTCTTCAGCACACTTGTCTGCGGTGCGAAAAAAGCTCACACACGGTTCAGGTGTTTCAATTCTGGGCCAAAACCGCACACTATTAAAAGGGGAGCCGCGAATTCTTCTCTCCCCTCAGATGGGATGCCCGGAAAGGTGGCAAATGTGTGTGTGGCACATGGTGTAAGGGGCAATTTATGAAATTAAACCCATCCAAAGTGCGTAAGGGATTTTTTCCGCCTCACTTTTCCACCCCGCTTTTTCGGGTTGGCGCAAAAATTGTGTGTTTTCGCCCGCTACGCACGTGGCGCATTGAAAATATGCCCTTGTGATTTAACAAAATCGATTTTCAATTGAAAGCCATACGGAACATTTCCCATTCACGGCATCTTCTAATGTTGATCTTGCGTTAACATTCAGCGCCGCGTGGAGCAATAAAAATCATCCCCTCAGTAATATGCAGTGCTAAACGCGAGGGAGTCTCGAGAGCCAGTTAAATGATTGGAACAAAGAGGGAAATCCTCCAAGTTGAACTTTTATGTCAGAGTCGTGTTGGTGGATTTTTCTCAGGCTGTCAGCACAATTTCCCTCTGTTATGATGTGTTCAAGGAAGAGGGACAGAAGTGGAACAATAAATAGACACGTTTTGTGGGAAAATTCAACTGTAAACTCAGCGAAAGAAGTTCATTGAAGCTATTTTTGTCGAATTTTTTTTTCAAATTATTTGATTTATTAAAATTTTAACTGAAATCCAAATTCGATTTGAAATTATAATGGATCTCTTAAGTTTCCATCCGATCATTCTATAATAATTGACTTAAAACCGCTGTTTTTGGACACTTTTTCCGACCATAACCTCAAAATATTAGTAAAAGTTCTCGAAAGACTCATTTTGAAAGCTTTCAAGATCACAAAATCATCTCAAAACTTCTGATTCAGAGTCAAAATTGTCCAGAATACTTTATAAATACCCAATTTACACGTTCAAATTACTATGTTTGAGGTTATGTTCGACCTCAATACGATTAGAAGTGCTTCTATGCATCAAAAAGTGTGAAGTGAATACAAATTTCTCACTTAATCTTCCCTTGATTCGTTACATAACCTAGAAAAGGATTTTTAGTGATTTTTTCTACTTTGTTTTCTACCTTTGCTTCATTAGATAAAAACCATGAAAAATCGACTTTTCACGGTTTTCCAAACACCCGTCGAATTTTGAATGGCTTTATTACAAAGTGTGAAATTTAATTGACAATATATAATGTGAAATATATATTTTAGTAGAGAGAAAATTCACATGAATTCATTGAAGTGCGATTTCACAACAATTTGAGGCAATTACTGAAAAATAAACATCAAAAAATGGGTCACGAGACAAACTTATTATACTTTTTCCATGACTTAGAGAAAATAAAACAAAACGTAAGTAATGCGGAGAGAAAAAAAAAACAAGGCTTTCCTCAATAACATTTGTGATTTAAAAGTCCAACGCACGCATTGCTTTAAACTTGACAGTGAAAATTACTACAAAATGCGCAAAGAGCATATTGTAATAATAAAAGAGTTTTAGGATGTTCTCAA